ATAATCTTGTCCTTGTTTTCTCAACTCTGTCTGCTTTATTGCTTTAAGGTCACATCTTATCACTGTAGCATGCCTTGGTAGTGATGTTTGGTTCATAAGGCATTCTCCCAAGGAAGCAATGAACTCATTTTTCTATCTATGAATCATTGTTTTGTATAAAATAGGAATCCAAACCATATATCCTATGCCTTAAACATCAATTTGCAGGAACTGAAAAAGCTTGTAATCACATTTTGATTTGCCTTTTGTAAATTAAGCAGCATTAGCAAAATGATAGCATGCCAATTCATCTCAACTTATGTGAAGTTTCTATCGAAAACAAATATCAATAAAATTTAATAAGGGGATATCAAAAACACATTGAAAATAGAATTATGAGGTACTAATGTACTCTGCTCCTGCACAAGGAAGAACTAGAATTTCTAGTAATAAGACAACTGATATTTGCCTTAAAATTTACATACCATCATCATATTTAATCTTATTTGATTCTGACAATAAAGCTATACAGTAAGAATTGGTATTGTTTTTATATTTTATATAAATCCAAGGTCAAAACGAATGGTTTGTCAGTGACCACAAACCTGGCATTGCAGAGCCTTAACCAATTTTTTTAAAATAGCATTTTGAATCTCTCTACTGTGTCCATTTTTCTCAATCTTGGTGCCAATTAGAATCATTTGGGGAGGTTTCGAAAAAATACTCTTGCATTCCCAACTCTCAGGTTAATTGAAATAGAGTTTCTGAGTGTAGAACTTCGGTATTGATAGTAAAAATAAACAACAATTTATACTCTTCTAATTCTAAAGTGTCAGTTTTGAAAACCAATGTATTGGCAGTTAGGTTCAATAAATGTGGCTTAATGAATGAAGATGGTGGAGGAGAAGAATCCTCAACATGTGGAACCAATCTCCTTACTCACACACATATTCAAGCATAAATAACACTGTTACAAGTGGGAGAAGAGAACTCAAGTGGTATATTGCCTTGAGGGGAGAAGTAACATGTTTGTCCATAGGAGGTAGATATTATTACTAGGGTAGTGGCTATATTTGGTAAAGAAAACAATTGGTCTTTCAAAAACTAAAACATTTTCTTTGAGTGATTACCTTTTGTCATCAGTACTTGAGGGTTCCGATTTTTTTATCTCCTGCTCTTTCCATTCTACCTTATATTGCCATTACTACCTTAATTTTTCTTTGTAATTTTTCAAATGAATTCTTTGCTTTCAATTTTATAGCATCAGCTTGGCCGTGTTTAAAATTCTCTGTAAAGAGTCTTGAACTCTAAAGGGAAAACATGCAACAGCAGCCTAATCAATCAACCACAGAAGGCAGAGCTGTGTTGGGACACAATACTAAGAGTTTTAATAAGAGCCTTGAGTACCCACTGGCCCAGACTGTGGTTTTTCAAAAAATATATAAGACAGGTAATCCATTCTGCCAAGGATACAAGTTTCCTTTTGTCCCATTCCCAGCCAATAAAATGTCTCCTTTCTTTATCCAGAATACATTCTTTATATTCTTCTACATGTTGTTATAACACCTTTGTTCTAGAAGAGCATAGTGCTTTTGCTTTGAAGTGTATTAAAAGAGAAAAATCTTTATTGTTTATGCTTTTTTATACTTTAACTGGATGGTTTTATTCTTTCCTTAATATGCTTGAATCAATCAATTTTAAGCAGCTAAGAAAATCTTTGGTGATTCTTGTTTTGGGAAAAGTTAAATAATTCTAGTGGTCTGTAGTTTATTAAAAATAAGTTTGGTATGTGTAGGTCAACAATATTTGATGTGAAAACTTTTGAGGATATACTGAGATTCTGAAAGTTTTTTTTTTTTTTTTTTTTTTTTTTTAGACAGAGTTTCGCTCTTGTTACCCAGGCTGGAGTGCAATGGCGCGATGTCGGCTCACCGCAACCTCCAACACCAGGATTCAGGCAATTCTCCTGCCTCAGCCTCTCGAGTAGCTGGGATTACAGGCACGCGCCACCATGTCCAGCTAATTTTTTGAATTTTTAGTAGAGACGGGGTTTCACCATGTTGCTTGACCTCGTGATCCACATGCCTTGGCCTCCCAAAGTGCTGGGATTACAGGCTTGAGCCACCTGGTTTAGGATGATTAGTAAATATTATCATCAACAATACTTAAAACAACAACTATATGTCTAGGGCGTTGTTTATACACTGTTGCTTATAGAGAAAAAAAATCATCCCCATCTTACTTCCCACACCAAAACCCCGCCGCTACTCACCACATAAAATCATTTAGTTTTAAAAAATCGTGCTCTTGATTAGACAAAGGTAATCAAGTTCTTCTGGATTTTCAGTGACTATTTTATTTCTATATAAAGTTTTCATCAAAAATTTTCTCTCCTATTTGTTCTTTTATGCTGGAGAAATGTTGGCTGCTTATTATTTTTTCATTTTGTTTTCTTATTTTTATTGTTTGTCTTTAGTGTAGTTCTGTCATCCCAAATTAATCTTTATTACATTTATATACTGGGACATTATTTTAATTAATTCTTTAGATTTTACTTCATATATTCCCTACTGAAACGTGACATATATAAAAATGTTATATTAGTGTAAAAAACCGTGGCAAAGAAAGTTTGAAGAAAATCACTTAGAAGTACAAGAGTGGTACACATTCTATACTCAAGTGAAAATTTAATCTTTAGTCCTACAGCACATTATATCAGAAAGCAAATAAACTTTTAAAAGTAAACGCTGTGGCATCAGTCACCTGCTAAAGCCACATGGCTCTTGAGAGATGCAAATGTGACCATCAAGTTAACTAATCAAGGATCTGGGAATTCCTTTCTGGACCAATCTCTGTCTTTGCAGGAAATAATATAGCAACTGAAAAAGGTGTGAAAAGGACAATATTTGACTCAATTTCTGAAAATATCGCTAATGTTTTCATGTGAGTAGACTGAATTCAAAAGTACATATTTCATTTTTATCATGCTTTTTGACTATGATTGCTAGCAATATATGGCAGCTTTCAACAGAGAATATATGTGTGTGTATATGTATATACATATATATACCTTAAAGTACACTGCCAACATAAAATGTTAATCTTTAATTTCATATTTTTGTTCATATTAATAGGGAGTAAGTTACCCATTTTCTCTCTGGAAATATCACCCCGGCATAGCTAAAACAACATTTAGCAAATAACATGTAACTTCTTGCATCTAAGATTCAATACTAAATTTAATATTTCTGATTTTAGTAGGACTTCTGCTTAGGGAATAATTGCTGAATAAACCCCATTAATGCAATATTTTACTTGCGACAAATTTTCTGTAGACTGAGGTTTGGAAAGTAAAACTCAGTCTTGCGACTTATTTGCATCAGATAAGAGGAAAACAGATTGAGAAAAAAAATGAACTTTCAGTCACGTTATTTTAAAATAAGATTTCCAGCTCACATTGTAAATTGTACAAATATGTATCATTAACCAAGAAAAATCAGATATTATGTATTCAAAGACCAATGATGGGAGTGCTCACCCCACCCTGCCACTAAGTAGATATTGTGGGAGTAGGAGTTACATCAGGGAATATTTCCACTTTACACTGAGTTAGGAAAATATAGCATCTGCAAATTTTTCCCTAGCTATCAGTCATTAGATTTCGAACTATTAGTTTTCAGCAAAGATACATACTAATGATCAAAACTTGTTTGTATGATTAATATCTCTAATTCATGGGATTATATGCACATGCTAGAGTTTTCTTGTGTTTATTTACAAATATAAAGTTTAAAATGTATTAAAAATAATAATAAGCCAAATTATTTGCTGCATATAAATTCAAATAATATATTTATATTTTAAAACGATTCAATCAACTTCCATATTTATTGAATAGTGAATACTTTAAAACAAGTGTATGTGATTTTACTAAAGCACATATTTTAATTTCTTCCTAGTATTTTACAGGTTTTTTTTTTTTTTGGAGACAGAATCCATTCTGTTGCCAAGGCTGGAGTGCGGTGGTGAAATCTCAACTTGCTGCAACATCCGCCTCCTGGGTTCAAGCGATTCTCCTGCCTTAGCCTCCTAACTAGCTGGGATTACAGGTGTGCATCACTATGGCTGGCTAGTTTGCGTAGGTTTAGTAGAGACAGGCTTTCACCATGATGGCCAGGCTGGTCTTGAACCCCCGACCTCAAGTGATCCACCTGCCTTGGCCTGCCAAAGTGCTGAGATTATAGGTGTAAGCCACCACATGCAGTCATTAAAAGTTATCTTGTTATGACAGTAATTCAGCAGTTAGTCTTACATTTATTTCCAAGATAATCTAGTTACAAGCAGATAATTCATAATATACTTGTCCCTGGGTATTCAAGAAAGATTGGTTCCAGGGCCCCTGAAGATACAAAAATTCATGAATTCTCAAGTCCCTAATATAAAATGGCATAGTATTTACATATAACCCATACACATCCTCCCATATACTTTAAATCATCTCTAGATTACCTATAATACCTAATAAGTAAATGTCATGTAAATTATTCTTATGCTGTATTTCTTTTTTGTATATTTTTTTGTATTATTATTTAATTAATTTATTATTGTTTTCATTCCAAGGTTGGTTGTTTAACAAAGGTGGCACTCCTGGATACAGAGGGCCGAGTGTACAATATTTTGTTAAAATTATTAATATTTAATAAAAAGTAGATAAGCTGCCATATTTCTGTTTCCTAGGGCTGCCAGCATCTCAGCCGCTTACATATACATGAATTTATCACTTCACATTTCTAGAGTATGGAAGTCTGAAATCAAAATATTGTTAGGGTGATGCTCTCTCTCTAATAGCTCTAGGGGAGAATCCTTTAGTACCAATTCCGATTTCTGGTATCTTCTAGTATCCTTAGCACTTCTTCTTTTATAATTGCACCAATCCAGTCACGTAGCCATCTTTTTCCTTATGTGTGTTCACATAGTCTTCCTTTCATTTTTTTTTTTAATTTTTGTTTTTTTCAAAAAGTTAGGGGGAAGCGGGAATGCAGTCCCCCATTACCACAAATTATGCAGTCCAGTTTCCCACATTTGGGGAAAACGTAGGGGTCAGCACACCCAGAGTGCAATGCATAAGGCTCACTTGGGAAAACCACCTTTGTGATCACGGTATCTCCCCTGCCAGGTAAGTCTTCCTTTTGTGTATGTCTGTGACTGTACCCAAATTTCTCATTTTTATAAGAATACCAGTCAATATTAGATTAAGGTCCACCCTAATAACCAAATTTTAACTTGACTGCCTCTAATTCTAAATAAGGTCACATTCTGAGGTACTAGAAGACTTCAACATTTCTCTTTGGTGGTGACACAATTTAACCCATAGCAGCTGTCCAAGCTAGTATGAGTGAGAAAATAATGCTTGACAAATGCACAACAGTGTGAATTTTTAGAATTAAAACCTCTGATATTTCCTTTTGGATATATCTTTTTAGATATTTGTTATCCAAAAGGATTTCTTCAAATTCAAATTTCCCAAAAATCAGCATTTCTATTAATCTTAATCCTTCTGATTGATCTTTTTGGTGTTATTCATATTATCAAGCTGATTTTAACTGGCAGTAGGTTTTATCTCTGAAAAAGTAGAATAGATTTATTTTACCCAGAATGGACTGGGCCTATATAGGAACATTTTCAAATCATGCTGGTGCTTGAAAATAGGATCTTGCTCTATCAATTGGGGCTCTAAGGTGTGGCATTGAGCTAGAGGTAACACAGTTCATTTCAGCAGAAAAGAAGGTATCTAAAGCATATTTATCCCTTTTATTTTTATAAATTTTTTCAAATTTAGTATTTTATTCTTGGCTATTAATGCCTATCATTTACACATTATTAATAATTTATTATTCTTTTGCTCTTAAAAGATGTGTTTTTTAATGGTCTCCAATCCTGAAAGTTAAATTGTTGAATTGAGTAAATGTACACAGAATAGATAGCATAACAAGGACAAACTAAAGGCCTAGAAAATTCATAATATAGTTACTTGGTAACAATATAAAACATGATTACATTGAATCACATTTTTCAGTATATAAATATGCCCAAGTTCTTGCCAAAAAATGGAATGTAAACTTTCCAAACAAGACATTTACTAGGCCCCTACACTATGCTGGGGAATCTAGATAGGAATATACAACATATTTTGCATCCTTAGATGCAAAGAATGTGAATTAAAAAGTTCACATTCTATCAAGGGATCGGAGAAGATGGCATGATAGGAGCGACACAGGATTGCAGTTCTCAGTGAAGATGCAGAGGGTGAGTGGAGGCCGTATTTCCAGACGGATATTTGTTGCCCAAAGAATGGGGAAATTCCCAGGTGTAGGACAGAAACAGGACGCCAGCGCAGCTGTTTCAGCTAGCACGGCCATTTTGTCCGGTACTGCAGCACAGCGGCACTCTGCACAAAGCACAAAATGCAGTGGTCTGGGTGCCCTGTTAAACCAGCAATCCGAGATTTGGGAGGGCAGATTAGCATATCCATCTGATTAGTCGGGACTTGGACAGTAAGCCAGACCAGGAGATTCCTGGGAAGCGACCTTTGAGCCGGTGCAGTGGGTCGCTGCACGGGAAATCACACAGATCCTAGTGCCTTATCAGCAGGTGACTGAAACACCTGGGAGAGAGTCAACCGTTCAACTTGAAAAGGGAAAAAAAGGGCTCCGAGGCAGGGAACCAGGTGGTCAGGCTCAGCAGGTCCCACCCCCACAGGGACAAACCAAATGGCGATTCGAAACACTCAGGGTTGAGAGATTCACTGCGGGTATGGCTGAACCCAGGACAGTGAGGAAGGGGTGTCTGCCATTACGGAGACATTCCACCCCTACTGAGATACGCTCCCATTGCTGATGCAGTCTGCCATTGCAGAGGCAATCTGCCATAACAGAGAGACTCCGCCAACAGGGCGGAGCCCATGACAGCAGGGCAGAGCCCACGACAGCAGGGCAGAGCCCATGGCAGCAGGGCGGAGCCTCGGCAGGCAAATAGTGACTAGATTGCATCCTAGCTGGGCAGGACAGTGCAACAGATACTCATAAAGAAAGCCCTAATTCCCTGAGACAGAGCATCTGAGAAGAAAAAGAGGGTTTTATGAGTTCTGCTGCAGCAGACTTAAATGCACCTGCCTAAGAGCCCTGAATGATCAATGGAGTTCACAGCGCAGCACTTGAGCTCCTATAAAGTACCAGTTTCTTCTTCTGCTATCTTTGTCCCAGATTAACATTTGGCGGGCATCATTCTGGGACAAAGATAGCAGAAGAAGAAACTGGTAGCATCCCTCACAGTTCTGCAGCTGCTACAGGTGTACCCCAGACAAGCAGGGCCTAGAGTGGACCTCAGCAGCCATATAGGAGAGGGGCTAGACTGTTAGAAGGAAAACCAAGTAACAGAAATACTTCATCATCAACAATCTGGGCATCCACTCAGAGACCCAACTGAAAAGTCAGCAACTACTCAAATGACAGGTGAGTAAATCCACAAAGATGGGAAGAAACCAGTGCAAAAAGGAGGAAAACACCTGAAACCAAAACATCTCACCTCCTACAAAGGACCAAAACTCCTCACCAGCAAGGGAACAAAGCTAGATAAAAAATGAGTGTGACAAAATGATGGAATCAGACTTCAGAAGGTGGATAATGAAAAACTTCTGTGAGCTAAAGAACATGTTCTAAATCAATGCAAAGAAACTAAGAACCTTAAAAAAAAGATCTAAAGAAAGATTTGAGGAAATGATAACAAGAATGGACTACTTAGAGAGGAATATGAATGAACTGAAGGAGCTGAAAAACACAACATGAGAACTTCACGAAGCATGCACAAATTTCAACAGCCGAATTGACCAAGCAGAAGAAATAATATCAGAAGTCGAAGATCAACTCAGTGAGATAAAATGAGAAACCAAGATTAGAGAAAAAAGTGCAAATAGGAATGAACAAAGTGTCCAAGAAATGTGGGACTATGTGAAGAGACCTAAGCTACGTTTGATAGGTGTACCAGAATGTGATGAAGAGAATGAATCCAGGCTGAAAAATACGCTTCAGGATATTATCCAGGAAAATTTCCCCAACCTAGCAAGGTAGGCCAATATTCAAGTCCAGGAAATACAGAGAACACCCCAAAGATATTCCGCAAGAAGAGCAACCCCAAGGCACATAATCGTCAGATTCACCAGGGTTGAAATGAAAGAGAAAATACTAAGGGCAGCCAGAGAGAAAGGTCGGGTCACCCACAAAGGGAAGCCCACCAGACTCAGAGCAGATCTCTCAGCAGAAACTCTACAAGCCAGAAGAGAGTGGGGGCCAATATTCAACATCCATTAAGAAAATAACTTTAAACCCAGATTTTCATATCCAGCCAAACTGAGCTTCGTAAGTGAAGGAAAAATAAAATCATTTGCAAACGAGCAAGTACTCAGAGATTTTGTCACCACCAGGCCTGCTTTACAAGAGCTCCTGAAAGAGGCACAACACATAGAAAGGAACAACCAGTACCAGCCATTCCAAAAACATACCAAATTCTAAAGAGCATGAACATAATGAAGAATCTGCATCAACTAATGGGCAAAAGAGCCAGCTAGAATCAAAATGGCAGTATCAAATTCACACATAACAATATTAACCCTATATGTAAATGGGCTAAATGCAGCAATCAAAAGACACAGACTGGAAAATTGCATAAAAAGCCAAAACCCATCAGTGTGCTGTATCCAGGAAACCCATCTCACATGCAAGGATACTCAAAGGCTCAAAATAAAAGGAGGCAGGAAGATATACCAAGCAAATGGAGAGCAACAAAAAAGCAGGAGTTGCAATTCTTGTCTCCGATAAAATAGACTTAAAGCAACAAAGATCAAAAGAGACAAAGAAGGTCATTACATAATGGTAAAAAGATCAATACAACAAGAAGAGCTAACGATCCTAAATATATATGGACCCAATACAGGAGCACACAGATATATAAGGCAAGTTCTTAATGACTTACAAAGAGACTTAGACTCCCACACAATAATAGTAGGAGACTTTAACACTCCACTGTCAATATTAGACAGATCAACCAGACAGAAAATCAACAAGGATATCCAGGGCTTGAACTCAGACCTGGAGCAAGCAAATCTGATAGACATTTACAAAACTCTCCACCCCAAATCCACAGAATATACATTCTTCTCAGCACCACATCACACCTACTCTAAAATTGATTATGTAATTGGAAGTAAAGCACTCTTCAGCAAATGCAAAACAACTGAAATCATAATAAACAGTCTCTCAGACCATAGTGCAATCAAGTTAGAACTCAGAATTCAGAAACTAACTCAGAACCACACAGCTTCAGGGAAACTGAACAACTGTCTCTTGAATGTTGACTGGATAAACAGTAAAATGAAGGCAGAAATAAAGAAGTTCTTCGAAACCAAGGAGAACAAAGACACAACATAGAATCTCTGGGACACATTTAAAGCAGTCTCTAGAGAAAAATATATAGCAATAAGTGCCTATATAAGAAGAGTGGAGCGATCCAAAATTGACACCCTATTGTCAAAATTGAAAGAGCTAGAGGAGCAAGATCAAAAAAACTCAAAACCCAGCAGAAGACAAGAAATAACTAAGAGAAGAACTGAAGGAGATAGAGACACAAAAAACCCTGCAAAAAATCAATAAATCCAAGAGCTGGTTTTTTGAAAAGATCAACAAAATAGACAGACCACTAGCCAGACTGATAAAAAGAAAAGAGAGAACAACCAAATAGATGCAATAGAAAATGATAAAGGGGAAATCACCACAGATTCCACAGAAATTCAAACCATCATCAGAGAACATTACAGACAACTCTATGCACAAAGACTAGTAAACCTGGAAGAAATGAATAAATTCCTGGACATCTGTGTCCTCCCAAGCCTAAACTAGAAGGCAACCAAAACTATGAATAGACCAATAACAAGTTCTGAAGTTGAGGCAGCAATTAATAGCCTACCACAGAAAAAAAAGCCCAGGTCTAGATTGGTTCACAGCCGAATTCTATCAGACACCAAACAAGAGCTGGTACCATTCCTTCTCAAACTATTCCAAATAATCCAAAAAGAAGGAATCCTTCCCAAATCATTTTGTGAGACCAACATCATCCTGACACCAAAACCCGGC